GCTCCTGTTTTCCTCCTCGGTGGAATCAGAGCAGGCGCCTTCCTCCCCGGGCGGTCGTCAGGGGTAGGCGGGTAAGGACATCTGAAGCGCTGGAGAGCAGAGCCAAACCCTGGCACGGCTGCGTGCGGCCAGCGCCCCCTGCAGCCTGCCGGTGGGCGTGCGGGGGAGTGAGCTGCGGGGCGAGTCCTGCGACTCCCAGAGGAGCTGTGGGCTCCCAGCCAGAAGGTCAGTTAGTCTGCTGTCTCGCAGTCTCGCTGTCCTGCGTCCGGTCCGACCCGCAGCCCCGGCCTCCTGCTCCTGGGGGAGCCGCTGCTGGAATGCTGTGTGTGGCCCCGGGCAAGTTGCTGAAAGTCCCGGGTTGTCTCCTTGCCTGTGGAACGGAGAGAACGCGGTGCCCCCCCCCCCCGCCCCCCGCAACAGGGGGCTGCTGCAAGGAGCAAAGGGGTCCGTGGGGACCGAGTTTGAGCACAGAGAGTGCTGGCCAGGAGCGGGGGTGGGGGGTGCCCCTCCAGAGCTGCCACCTTCCCCCGGCTCTCTGTGCCTGCTCCTCAAGTCCGCGTCCCCAACCCCGCCTCCCCCACCGGCACCCCGCGGGCTTTCTGTCCCTCCTTCCCTGCGGGTGCTGCTGCTGAGATCACCAGGGGCCTTCTCTGTCCAGACCTGAGCTGCTGCTTCTCTTAGCTCTGGGAACAGTTTTTGTGTGTTTGCTTTTTTAAAGACTTTATTTATTTATTTATTTATTTGTCAGAAAGAGAGAGAGCGCGCGCGCGTGCACAAAAGCAGGGGGAGCTGCAGGCAGAGGGGGAAGCAGGCTCCCCACTGAGCAAGGAGTCCAATGCAGGACTCAATCCTAGGACTCTGGGATGGTGACCTGAGCCGAGGGCAACCTCTTAACTGACTGAGCCACCCAGGCTCCCCTCTGGGAACGGTTTTAACAGTGAGGTCATGTTGCAACCAGCGGTCCGGGTTGGGGGGCCGTTGAGGGGCTGTGGCACGCTGAGAAGATGGAGAGGCTTCCAGAGGCAGGACAGACTGACTGACTGGCAAAGAGCTGGGCATGGCAGGTCTGCGGCGGCTGGGCCTGGAGCTGGGCCTGGAGCGGACGGGTGGGCAGTGGGCTGACTGCTGCAAGAGGAGGAAGTCAGAGCAAGGGCTGGGGCGGTGACCGAAGCGGGGAGCCTGCTCGGGGTGTGGTGAGCACCTATTAGGAATGTCTTCAACATGAGGAAGGAAGATAGCTGAACATTTTAGGGCAAAAAAGGAAGCAACTAGTAGAGGACAGGATGAAGATGCTGAGCGGAGGCACATGTGTTCAGAGCAAGAACCAAGACTGAGGGGCTTAAAAGTACACTTAGCCAGGGGAGCGCTCAGTAGTGTCTATAACCTGTGGGAAGAAAGAGCCAAGACTGCAGCTCCGAGACACCAAGAGGGGTCAGCTTTCTTAAGGAAGGGCGTTTTTTGTTTCTTAGAGGCTGAGAGGAACAGGAAGGGAGGGATGTCCGGACTTCTAGAATGTACACGGGCAGGGTCTGTCACGGCAGTGCCCCCCCACCAAGGGTGTGCGTCCCTCCCCAATTCATAGAGGAAGCCCGAACCCCACGATGTTTGGAGGTGGGCCTTTGGGAAGTGATGAGGTTTAGGTGAGATCTTGAGAGTGGCACCCCACGATGGATTAGGGCCCTTAAAAAAAGAAGACAGAGACCCAGAGTGGGCTCACTGTCTGCCGTGTGAGGACACAGAGAACAGGGGCCATTGCAAGCCGGGGTTCTCACCAGACACTGACCCTGATGACGTCTTGGCCTTGGACTCAGCAGTCTCTGCAACTGTGCACAACAGTGCAAGGCTTTCATCGGCCCAGGCTGTGGCGTGGAGCTCTGCTGCCCGCGCTACCCCAGCAGGTGGGTGGGGGGTGGTCAGCGGTGGTGCCCAAACCCTCGGTGTCTGCTCGGGGACATAGCGGGTGGGTCTGAGGGCTCTTCCACTGAGATGAGGTGTGTCTGTGGTTTGGAGCTTGCGGCAAGAGATGGCAGATGGATAGAGTGAGCGGAGTGGAAAGTTAAGGGGCCCCGAATCTAGGATGGGGCAAATGGCCATTTTGAAGGGTTGACTGAGAAGATGGAGCAGCCGGGTGTAGAGGAAATGACTGCTAGACACAGCTCGCAGGCCGGTTTGTAGGGGTGCAGGGGCGTTCTTGAGTTACTGTGTCGTTCTTTAGGTCACTGTGGACTCGTCCGCCGTAGAAGCTTTGCCTTTTCCTCTTAAGTCAATCAGGCCTTCGTGTTTTAGGGGTAGAGGAAGATGCAGCTAGGTTCTAGCTGGATTCACTCAGAAAAGGCAAGGAGGGCGATTGGTCCTTCAAAGGAGAACTGAAGAGGAGAGAGAGGAGAACTTTCTAGGCAGAAAGGAAGGACCTGCCACCCTCTGACTCAGAGCAGCCTGCTGCTGCTGGTGGGACCTGGATCGGGGATGGGGGTGGCTGTGTGCACACTGAGCACCGAGCACCAGCACCCCCAACACCCCTGGGGAGCCAGGCCCATCCACATCCAAGTGCGCTCCCTTCTCTCTGGTCCTACAGAATCTTCCTTGACCCCATGTCCCCTCCAGTCATCCCTTCCTCCCCTTCACGTCACGCATCCACCCCCTGGACCCAGGGCAATCTGGTTTCTCCACTGCCTTCGACAGCAGCTTCCCTCATCAAAAAAATCACTGCTGATCTCCTTTCCTAAACCCAAAGGGCGCTTCTCAGAACTCACTCAAAGTCTCCGCAGCACATGACACCAAGATGGCGCCGACTTTTCCGCATGTCTTTCCTTACTCCCTGGACACGGCCCTCGGCAGATCCTTGGAGTTCTTGCCTAGCGCTCTGGCACCTCTCCTCTGTGTCTAAGGCCGGCCCTCTTCCTTGGACCACTGGGTCAGGGCCGGGCTCTGGAAGGTTCTTCGCTGGACCCTTGGCTGGTCTCTTCCCGCCAGCGCACTCTTCTCAGGGGAGTCCTTGTGCTGCCGTGGCTTTGTTCCCAGAGCTGTCTCTGGCCAGACCTTCCCAATCACAGTGTCGCAGGTGTCCTGTCTCAGGGGAGATCGGGCCCTACCCACAGCTAGCACCTTAGCCCTTCCCATGTCCTGGGCTCAGTTCACTCTGGTTTACAGTTTCTCAGACAGACACCAGGAGCATCGATGACCTTGCTGACCCAGTGCAGAGTAATTCTTTTCTCTCCATACCTCTCTTCTCACACGCCAACTCATGATGACAGCTATTCCTAGCCATTTCCAGAAAGGGGGGGGTACTAGTAATGTTCTAGTACTGTTAAAATGTTCTAGTAACCATATTTAAAAAAAGATAAAAGAGAAACAGGTAAAATTAATTTTAACACTATGTTTTATGCAACCCCATTGTCTAAAATAGTCATTTCAATGTGTCAGTTGAAAAATTATCAGTGAGATATTTGACATTTTTTTTCATACTCAGTTTTTTGAAATCTGTGTGTATTTTACACTTACAGCCTGTTTTCACTTGGACTGATCACATGCCTGGTGATTGCTGGTCAGATGGAGGTGGGGACCACTGTCCCATGCATGTGCGTGCAAGAGCTTCCGGTCTCCATCATGCAGGGTGACAGCCTTTCCCTCTGATTCTGGACTTCCTGTGCTTCTCTGATGCACATAGACCTAGAAGGTTACGGAGGGTCTAGATCTGTGAATACTGACCAAGTCATGCTTTTGTCTGTGCCTCTTTAACCCTTGGTTCTAATGTACACAGTAGGAATCTGATGTTCAATGATCTATTTACTACAGTGCTGTTTGCCAGATTCATGGGACATCTTTGGGGACTTCTTGGAAGTAGAGTCTTACAAGATGCTTCAGTGTCTCGTCCCACCTTCATGTTCACATCCTGCCTTCATGAGGGATGTGGGCGTGAAAATCAGTGCACAGGTGTTAGGACTGGGGTGGTCGGGCAGGCAGGGAACAGGAAGCCATTACGTGTTTACCTGGCCCTCATTTATGATGAAGGGAGACCAATAAATGAAAATTAATCCCATCCTCCGCAGTTACTGACTTTCAGTTTTCCTGTTGATACTCATCCTTAAGCCTCTGTAAGTGAAGAACCCGGCCGTTCTTCTTTAAAAGGTTTTCTCAGTAAAATAGTGAGTGAATATAACACCATCGATACTATCCAGAAGGGTAAAGAAATGAATTCAGTGAATATTCGTGAAATTAAGTACACGTCCCAGTACTGCAACTTTAATTTTAGTAATTTTAAGTGGAAATATTTGATAATCTATTGCAAACCCCGTCTTAGCATCTAGAGAATACCGAATGTAATTCATACTCTCCTTAGGCTATTTGCTGAATTAAATTACATTATTACAGGGGGCAGGGGAGTAACTAATATTTATGGGGGGCGACTCTGCTAAGAGCTATGTTTTATATTATGGTAGTTCGTATTATTTTACTCTGAGGCTATGCCCAGCCCCCTTCTAAGTATTTGAAGGAAGATGCTGTGTTTTCCCCACCAGGTCCGCCTGCGTAGCCAGAGATTAGCCTGCCTGGCCTCAACCTGGGATCTGACTCTAGCAATCGGACACTAGAGGCCACACTTCTAAGTACTCTGCCACTAATGTGCACTTCAGCACAGAACTCTGTCCCCATTTAACAGATGCAGAAACTGAGGTGCAAAACCGTTAACTAACTTAAAACTCGCCTAGTAAGTGGCTGGCATTTCTTTTTCCTACCCCCTTCCCCTTTCTGTTTTCTAGAACTTCCTGGGTTTTGGCTCAGGCAGGGCTTGCATTTGCTAATCAATGCAAACACTTACTTCTTCTCCCTTTGGTTTGCTTGGCTGCCTTTTCCTTTCCCTGGAAAATAGCTCCTGTCCTCACAAGGCTTGCGCATTGAGTGCACTGTTTGCTGGGCGACCTCCGCCCTGGAGTTTCAAGGGACACCGAGCATGCTTTTCCAAGTTTGTATTCTGAAACTTCTGACCATTTTTTTCCTTGCAGAGAGATCGGTACAATCATCAGGTCACTAGGCTGCTGCCCCAGTGAAGGAGAGCTCCATGACCTGATTGCAGAGGTGAGTGGCGGCAGGGGGCGGGGGGCGGCAGCAAGGCTGCGGGCGGGGCGGGGGGGGGGGGCTCTCTGCTCCCCCTTGCTCCTTGTAGCTAAAAACACTTACCTGCAACTGGGCAGGTCCTAAACTAATGCATGTGCTTGGCGAAGACATTGGGGCTGCTTTGCGGATTGGCCAGGCAAACGTTCTGAAACAATATCAGATCTGCAAGAAATGGCTTTGACGCAGTAATGGAACGGCTCAAGTAAGGAGCCCGCCTTAGACATTATCTACACTCTTTAAAATGAATTATGAAGATGGATACCTGGGGGGCTCAGTCCAGTTAAGCATCAGACTCTTGGTTTTGGCTCAGGTCATCATTGCAGGGTCATGGGATCGAGCCCTGCATTGGGCTCTGGACTCTGCAGGGAATCTTCTTGTTCCCCTCCCTCCGACCCTCCCCCTTCTCATCCTCTCTTTCTCTCTTTCTCAAATAAATAAATAAATAAATAAAATCTTTAAAAAAATAAAATTAGTTGGAGAAAGGCCCACAGATTCAGGGGACTAACTCTGTGCCGAGAGAACACTGACAGGTGAAAGAAATGGGTTGAAGAATGTCATCTCAGAGGGGAGAGAGAGGGAAGTAGAGACCGGAGAAAATTTATGTTTATTGGGGGGGGAAATAAAACTAACTTTTAGAACAAGTAGTACACATATAATAATAATAAGATAGTAAAATAATAAGAACGAACTTGACATTGACTGAACCGTCCAAGAATTGTAAAAATGATTATTTGTAAGAGTGTACCTGAGTGTCTGGAGAGAATGATCCCATAAAGCAGTGAGATCGGAGAGCTTCATGCCCTGTTTGGTTTTCCAGAAAAGTGTCTGGTCTCACGTCATGCAGCTTTCGGTTCGACAAAGCAGAAGCCCGAAGGGAACAGAGCTGCCTGGGCCCCCACCAGGAGACGAATCTGTTCAGAACTGCTGATCTAAGCGTGTGGGTTTAGATGGAGGCCCTGCTTCAAGTGGGAGGAGACGGGAGGCAGGCAAGGAAGTGGGATTTGGTAGATTTTTGTGCCTAATTGGGCATCGACTCGAGATGAGTCACCTAACGTCTGTGTCAGTTTTTCCACGATGATCCTCCCTCAAAGAGAAATGAAATAATGTGTTAGAAGACGTGTTTTGAATCCTAAAGCACTATATAGAGATAAGGAGTGGAAAATGGAAAGAGGACTCTGTTGCCTGTGTATTAGCATCTTTGTAACTCAAAGGCAGGACCGATTTTTCATTAGCATTTAAAAATATACGGTAAAGCACAGAATATTTACATTGTTTTTCCATTTTGGGGTCCAATAAAGCTATTTTTACTCAGAGGAGAAAAGCCTTATTTTTTTCCCGATTTGGTCCTTATTTTAAAAAAAGGTGTTGATCACTGCTCGATAGTGTTTACTGACAAAGCTAGAATTTGTGCTAGGGAAAGAGGAAAGTTGGCGCTGTGGAGCAGATAGGAACAGGAGGGTGAATTTACAGTGAAATCGTAATTATTGCATATAATTCAGTAGGGTAAGTGGAGCAGCAAGGAAAAATGCCTCTGGAAGGATAGAAAAGTAGAACCTGTAGAGCCTAATTCCTTCTGTCTGTTTTAATCAGCCATCCACAACCTCTGGGCCAAACCCCGCCCACCACCTGTTTTTATAAAGTTTTATCGGAACACAGCTAAACTCATTTATTTACATCTTGTCTGTGGCTGTGTTCTCACTACAAGAGTGGAGTTGAGTCCTTGTGATAGACACTCTATGGTTTCCTGTAGTTACTGTCTGGTCCTTGGCAGAAGAAGTTTGCCAACTCTCGATCTGAAAGTTTTTCTGGCAAAGTAGAACAAACACCGCATCTCGGGTCAGGCGGTCTGTATCCGAGTCCCAAAGCCACCACTTACAGCTGTGCGAGCTTGGTGGAGCAGTCGAACCTTTCAAAGCCTGGTTTCCGCAGCCACAGGAGGAATGCAACAACAGCAAGTTTTGTCTTTATGAGGATGAAGTGTGATAACTGTGAGGATTCACGTGTTACTTGGTGGGTTTTGCTTGCTCTGTAGGTGGCTGTCTACCAAAGCGACCCCACGGATTTGGGCAGTTGATCATAGTAGGTGCTCGGGTCCCAACGTTTTACTTTGTCTTTGGCCCTTCCTTAGGTATATTGACGCAACCTTGGAAAATTATACACATTTAGAGCAGTTGGATCAGTAGAGATCACTGCGCTGTCGAAGCCCTATACACATTTTGCCTTACGAACATAAATTGTCCTTGCGTATAATTTATTCAAATTAGAGCGATATGCATAAGAGCTTCTGGGCGTGACTCTCCTTTCTGTGGTTTCCCAATTGAGTGAGGGGAACAAAACACATAGATATTTATAGGTACTGAATACATCTAGAAAACCAGAGCTCCAGATAGTAAAGCTCGAGGGGCAAATGTCCTATTGCTGAGTGCTGTGTGGTAGTTTCAGAAATGAAATGATTTCTGCCTTTTTTGCTTTAAAATGCAATAACGTGACAATGCTCTAAAATTCAATAAAACATCAAAACCTCTGAGCAGGTCTCTAGTCACCATTTGCTTGAGTTTTAGTCCAAGTACATACTAACCCTCAGCCCCTCACTTCGGAAGAGCGGTATGAAATCTGATGTTGCTCTTGAAATAGATCATTTAAAATCACTCAGCATTGATCCCTCCACTTCATATTCTACAATTACCAACTTGCCCCAGATAATCTTGGCACATTTGGAACATCACAAAACTCGACAACTGTGATAAGGGTTAATACCCACATTTTATTGACATACAGGTTACCAAACAATTCTTCCTTTACTAAGAAGTTCTGTCCTTCCAGGATCTTCCGTGTGGGAGCTGGGAGGACATGACAGTGTCTCAGTACCAGTGGGAAGGGCGTGGAGAGGTCAACAGCCTTTAAAGTTCAAACCTAAGTGGAATTGTGGAGAATTTAAAGTAGTTGGAAAGGAGAACTAAAAGAACTTTGGAAAATAAGATCTATGTTGGTGAGATTTTGACATTATACAGTGATTTTTTTTTAAAGTTCAATTCGTCAGAAAGGTATAAAGATTTTAAATGTCTGTGTACCTAATAACAGAGCTTCAATGGACATGAAGCAAAAATGGGCAGATGAAAGGGAGAAACAGACAACTCCTTTATCATAGAAGAACTTCTAACAACCCTTTCTAAATAACTGATAGAACAACTACATAAAATGTCAGCAAAGATGCAGAAGATCAACTGTCAGTCACTGTGGCCTATTTATAGGACATACACCCACAGATGCAAAATACGTGTTCTTTCTAAGTATACGTGGAATGTTCAATAGGATGGAGTAAGTGTTGGACCATAAAACAAGTCTCAGTAAATTTTTAAAAATTAAAAGCATATAGGACATATTCTCTGATTTTAAAGAATTAAGGGGCACCTGGGTGATTCAGTCAGTTAAGTGTCTGATGCTTGATCCCAGCTCAAGTCATGATCTCAGGGTCATGAGATTGAGCCCCATGTTGGTCTCGGTGCTCAGTGTGGAGCCTGCCTAAGATCCTCTCTCTCCCTCTCCCTCTTTCTCTCCCCACTGTTCCTGCTCTCTTTTTCTCTCTAAAAAAAGTAAATTAAAAAATTTTTAAAAATTAAAGAAGGGATTAAGTCAGCATCAATTGAGAATAAGATAATTAGGAAATCCTCACATATTTGAAATTAAGCAACCTACTTCTTTTTTTTTTTAATTTATTTATTTGACAGAGATCACAAGTAGGCAGATAGGCAGGCAGAGAGAGAGGAAGGGAAGCAGGCTCCCTGCTGAGCAGCGACCCTGATGTGGGGCTCAATCCCAGGACCCTGGGATTATGACCTGAGCCGAAAGCAGAGGCTTTAACCCACTGAGCCACCCAAGTGCCCCCTAAGCAACCTACTTCTAAATAATTTACAAATCAAAGAAGAAATCACAGGGGGAATTAGAAAATATTTTTCCCTGAATGTTCAGAAAAATATAGGATGTCAAACTTTGTGGGATACAGGTAAGCAGTGCTTAGAGGTCCATTTAAAACTTTAAATGTTTATACTAGAAAAGAAAAAAAAAAAGACCTAAAATTAATTATCAAGACAATCTCAAGATTAAAGGAGGGTTTATCATTATCCTTCAGATATCGTAAAAGCTAATAAAGGAACAACTTCATGCTAATAAATGGGGCAACTTAGATGAAATGGACAAATTCCCTGAGACACACAAATTAGCAAAACTGACCCAAGAAAATCTGGAGAATTTGAATAGCTCCATATCAATGATGAAAATTAAATTTATAATTAAGAACTTTCCCATAAAGTAAACTAGAAGTTCAGATGGCTTTTCTAGCAAATTCTCTCAAATATTTATGGCAGAAATAGTACCAGTTCTACACAAAACTTGTTTTGGAAACATCACAGGAGATAACACTTTCCAGTCAAGCATTACTCTAATATTCAAGCCAGACAATCACATTACAAAAAAGAACAGACCTTACTGACATAGTTGTAAAACATCCTCATAAGATTTTACCACATCAATTTCAACAACGTGTTAAAAAGAATAATACATTATGAGAAAGTGGAGTTTATCTCAGGAATTGAAGATTGGCTCACATCAATCAATGTACTTTGTTATTTATTACATCAACAGAACAAAGTAGATAAACCATATAATCATTTCAGTAAATATAGGAAAAGCTTTTGAAAAAAATTCAATACCCATTGAAGAGAAAAATACTCAGCAAATGAAGAATAGAAGGAATTTGTCAAGCTGGCCAAGGGCAGCTATAAAAATTCAAGCTGAAACTCATACTCAGCATTTTCTATCTAAAATCATGAACAAGGCACAGATGCCTGCATTCACCACTCCTATTCACCATTTACTTGAAATCCTAGCTGGTACAATAAGGTAAGAAAAAATAATAAAAGATATGCAGTTTGGAAAAGAAAAACTGAAACTCTTTCTGTTTC